TCATTCAATTTGACAATATGCTGCAGAGAGACAAATCTTAGACTCCAAGTTGATTAGTTTGATCTGTACCTGCATAATGTGTGCTTATTGCTTCTTGTCACATGCTTGCAATGGCCAAATTAGAAAAGTATAAAAGTTTGAGACTACTAATTAATTTCTTTTCTTTTTGCAGGCACACGATTTAGGAGGTAGCGTTCCGTCACCAACTGGCCAAAAAGATTCTTTAACGAAAGTAACAATGAAAACGGAGAAAATGACAATTAATAATCATTGAATGATGAACTACATTTTCTTCTTTTGTAATTGTTGAATAACTCTGAAATTTAAGCTTGAACCTTTGATGGAATTTTGGGAACTTATGTTTTAATATGATGACTATTTTGCTTATTTATTTGGAAAAATACATAGTTTACTCATCGATCTTGCAGCGAAATCCTTGTTACACACCCCTCGTTCACGAAAAATCTTTCGCACACTCAAATTTTTAAAAGTATGTTTAAGACACACCACTTTTGTGTTTGACCAATTTTTCAGATAACGTGAAAGTCACGCCCTAATAGGATCGGGACACGTGTCATTGACTTTAAAAAGGAAAAAAATACTAGAAATAACAATTAAACCCCATCTTCTTCATCTTTCCATTTTCTATCTCAAGTACCATTGTTGCAGCTCTCATGATTTTTTGTGAGAAAGTTTTCAAAAACAGCAAAATTTAACCACACTATCTCAACAACTAGCCGAAAAAAACGAGCAACATATTGAGTTCAACAACCCAATAATCAACAAGACTCAATTAAATTTTCAAGCTTTTTCAATACCCCCAACAATGGTGGATTCTAAATGTTTTCACCAAACCTTCTACACTGCTGTTAAAGCTTTTACATCTATCACAAATAAATAGTTTTCACAATATTTTGGACAATAAACCAACAAAAACCGCTCAATTTTTAGATTTGAAATCTTGTGTTCTTTCAAAAAATTTATATGGGGAAGAAGACAAGGGGGAGGGTAGGGGTTACTCTGGGGAGGGGAGAAAAAATATGGGATTTTTATGGCTCCACCCGCGTTTTTTATGTAAACACACGAGTGCTACATGGTCAAAAATAGTGTGTCTTAGATACACTTAACGTTGAGTTAACATTATTATGAACTGCTATGTGAACATCTGCAAATTTTTTAACAATTACGAGGTTACAAGTGCCATAATAAGCAAAGTACATAGTCATTTTAAGCAATGCATATGACCAGAGGCGGACCCAGGATTTAAGCGTTACGGGGGCACCAATATTTTAGTATGCCAATCACCAACAATAAAGTTCGGGTGTAACTCTTTGAAATGACTATGATAATTTTTCATCAAAATAAAAACAACAATATTATCAAATACCATTAACGTGATACTAATATAACAAAATTATATTGTCCACTCATAGTTGAACTCGACGCATTTTCATATTTTGAAAACGGTCAATAATAGCATCATTGCTTATATTTACAAACACTTTCTTCTCAAAGTAACAAACTAAACAATCATTTAAAAGTGCATCACCAATACTACTACGCAATTCATCTTTGATGTACTTCATAGATGAGAATGCTCTTTCCACCGTTGCAGTTGCGACAAGTAAAATTAAAGTCAACTTCACAAGCAAATAAATAAGTGAATAAGTCTTCACAAGATTTGTTTCAACCAATGCTTTCACCTAATCACCAATTCCTTTCAAATCAGAGAACCTAGGGTCACCATGTTGCATATGCCATATGAAAGTGTCAAGTTGGCGACTAAGATCTCGAAGCTTCAATTCACCAAACTCATCGGGATAATGCTTGGCCAATGTCATTATTCTTTCCTTATCAAAATTAGCAAATGTGTTAGCCGGATTCAAGCTAGCCATACCAAGAAGCAAGTTACTACTCACAACATCAAAATGACTATTAAGCTCCAGAAGTTGCAAATCAATCACGGCATAAAAAAGCTCAACACGTAAGTGATGTGAATAAGTAACACTAGAAGGCCTACGCTTCGACTTTCCAGGAATATAGAATTCTTCCATCTTGGGCACCAAAATATCATGTTTTGCACGAAATAAATGTACTTCATCCATCAATGGTTCCCATCCTTTATCTCTCATTCCTTGCAACCTTTTCTTTGTGATATCAAGAAATACCATGGCATTGACAATATCTTGATCTTTCTTCGGTAATGCTTTGCTCAACTCGTTTGACATTATCAATACTTTCAACATTAAGTGAAGCAAGAAAATAAATTCAAATGCTTTAATTTTACTAGAAAAAACTTCTGCTTGCAACCTATCATTAACATCACCTTCACATTCAATCACCCCAAGCACATGAACAATAGAAGAAAATAAAATAACAAAGTTATCCAATGTTTTACAATGTGATCCCCAACGAGTGTCACCTGGCCTTTGAAGCGCCCGCTCTTGATTTAATCCTTTCCCACTTTGAACTTCACCACTCTCTAACAATTGCTCCAACAATTCTGCTTGATGATCCCGAAGTTGATCTCTACGCTTAAAAGAAGCTCCAATTATATTCAACACGTTAGTAACAATAGCAAAGAAAGTCTCAACCTCCTTGTGTTTTTTAGCAACAGCTACAAGCGTCAATTGTAATTGATGTGCAAAACAATGAATAGAATATGCCCATGGAGTTTCTTGCAAAATTAAAGCTTTACTCATCTTTCCATGCATATTACTAGCCCCATCATAGCCTTGTCCACGTATTTTGGATGGACTTAATGAGTGTTTCATTAGCAAAGAAAGTACTGCTTCTTTTAACGACTTTGCAGAGGTATCACTAATACGAACAAGACTAATAAATGGCTCGTTCACTTGGACTTTTTTGTCAACATACCGCAAAGCAAGGGCCATTTGTTCATGGTGTGAAATATCCTTGGACTCATCAACTAATATCCCAAAATAATCTCCATCCAAGTCATCAATTATAGCTTTCACGGTCTCTTGTGCACAAGCACTCACAATATCCTTTTGAATTTTTGGCGAAGTCATCATATCATTTTTTGGAGCATGTTTTAATATAACTCTATCTACATCTGGAAGCCTATTTCCAAGCCATTCCAAAAGCCCTAGAAAAAGGCCTTTATTTTTTGAAGATTCACTTTCATCATGACCACGAAAAGGCAATCCAAAGTCCAAGAGAAACCTTGCAACATCAATTGAGGCATTTAAACGAATTCGATATTCAGTTTTTTGTTGATCGGATTGCTTTTCAAAAGCAGCTTGAATTGATTGAGATTGATTTGACAAGGCTAACATATTGTTGAAGCACTTATGGTGGAGATTACTTACTTCACCAACATGTAGATCAAATCTTTCGGTTGCTTTATTCCAACCCTTAAAGCCGGTTTTTGTGAAGAGTCACCTGTGCTTCCATTAACGCAATCATTTTTGAATAAATAACAACATAAACAAAATGCGGCATCTTTCTTCACACTATACTCTAACCATCTAGAATGCGAACCTTTAAACCAACCCGAACTAAATTGGCGCATTTTCTTCCCAAATAAAGTTTTAGGAAATTTGTGATCTAGTTGGCAGGGCCCTCTTTGGATGTAGTGTCTTCTCACTTCATCCCGTATTCTAGGGCTATATCTATCAATGGGTATTCTCTCTCCGGGGTCGGTATTAAGTGATTTCACATCAAACTCTTCTACAAGATGGGAGGAATTGTCTCTAAAACTAGAACTTGGTTGAGGAGAATTAAACCTCGTCAAAAATTTGTCCATCTCAATTCACATCAAGAGAACTTCCTACAAAGCAACAATGCCAAGCAAAATAATATTTTTAATATGATTAATCACAAAATAATACTAGTGTCCAATATATGTAGCTGAAATTCAACCAAACTTTCTGAGGAGTAAAAAGAAATAGCAAACTAAAAAGTGAACATTGGTTCAAAGAGCTCACCGTTTCTAATTTTTTAAGAGTCGAACAAACAATAAATTCAAAAACTAAAAGTACACCTTTTGGGGCCTTAAAATTTTTGGGGCCTAAATCAAAGGCTTTACTAGCCTCAACAAAATCAAGAAAAATTACAAAAAATTCAAAGATTCAATCATAATAGAATAGCCAAAAGTGAGAACAAGATACAAATAAGAGGCAAGCAAAACCTTCTAGTTAAGCCCCTTCTCAATCGTATTTTAAAAGGAATTTTTTTAAACCCTAACTTAGAAACTGAAATTTACCATTAGAAAAGTGGAAACAAGATGGAAAATTCCAAGTATAATTTTTAAAATCTTACCCAGAAAAAGATTGGCAACTGCTTGATGCCTTGATCCCTGAAGAAAGAACGTGTGAATCTGTGGTGATGAAAAGGTGGATGAAATTTGTTTTGGTCGTTTGGGTTTGGCAGAAGGATGTCAAAAGAGAGAAAAGGGAGTACTGCGTTGAAATTCTCTCAAAGAGAGAGAAAAGGGTATTGAAATTCTCTCAAAGAGAGAGAAAAGGGTACTAGTAGGCCTGTAGGCGTTGAAATTACCAAATGAGACCCAATCAAAAAAATTATTTTGATTGTTGAACCTGAGATTCAAACTTGGGTCTTAAAGAAGCCAACTACTCCACAATTTGTAGACCACAAACCAACTCTTCTATCCAGTCTTTGTGACTGAGGGTGCCGCATAATATATTTATAGGGGTCCTTCCTGTATTAACTTATATATATACAATATTTTTACCGAGGCCAACGGGTGCCCGTGCCCCCCACCCCCCAAGCGTAGGTCCGCCCCTGCATATGACGGTGGTTTCCTCTGCATATTTACGTCGGTTAAAGGAAAACTGTTGTATTATACCTTTTGGTGTGATTATGGCGTTCTTATAAGCCGCCATTTAGGATAATTACGGCAGTTTGAAACCGCCACTATATACATAAAAATCCGCCGCAGTTACCCAATTTTTTGTCATATACAAAAAATATCATGAAATATGACTTCAGAAAGCACAAAGCTGAGACATTTTCCAAGTTGGAAAGTGATTCTTCCTCGAGAGAAAAGGAAAATTAAGGACAAACAATATGAGTCATGAAAATTCTTGTCTCCTCAGAACTTCCAAGAATTTCTCTTGGCTTCTACTTTCTTGCCAAGAAAATTCTTGTTTTTCTTTATTCTATCACCAATATCATTTACTACAACTTTGTATTTTATTCTTTGTACTAAAGCCTCGCCTAATTACTCACCTGAAATAGACAAATAAAAAGGCAATAATCCAATCAGAAAAATAATCAGACAAAAATATTCAGCCATATTGTCGTAGTTTATATCAATGAGAATCACTTTTATGCATAAACTATGTAAAGAAAAATTAACTTTATGAGTCCACCTAAAAGATAACTACAACTAGTAACTTGGAAAATAAAGTGCATTAAGTTATTGACTGTGTAGAAATTTATTAACACCATCAATTTTATATAATTATTCCTATAGTCCCAATTTATATGATGAACTTACAGTTTTAGTCCGTCTCTAAAACGAATGACACTATATTTTTATATTTCAAAATAATTTAACTGTAAGCTTCTGTTTTACCTTAATGACGCAAAATATTTATGACATGGTATAAATCACAAGTCCAGTTAAGAGAAAATAAGTAGTGACATACCCATAGTTCTTTTGCAATGAAGAACAGCCTCATAAATGGAGGTCTCAGAATCACAAGACCTGCGCCAATCATCAACAGAATAAGTTAAGCTTGTCCTTGGAGATGTCCCCTGTGAACAATAAATCTTCACTCCCTCTATTGTACTTGTACTAGTTCCACTTTTGCACCCAAAACCACATCTTATTTTTTGGCACAAAGGCTTCAGAAAATCGAACAATCTTCCAAATCTCCTAAATGATATACAGAGAACTCTGTGCACTTGTTGTTTGGTTTTTAAAGGATAGTAATTAGTACTCTCCATTTTCATTGGATTGATGAGAAGAGGCAGAGGGGATGAGCCTTTAGATATGAGTTCATCAGCATGAACAAGTGTTAATGAAGACTCAGCTGATGTTGGAAAATTAAAACTGATCAAATCTTGTGGATTAACGTTAGAGAAACTCTTTGAAGGAGAAAGTGTAGGATCCATTTCAATGTAGGCAGCTTCGTCAAAATCATCGGATGCATATTCCGTGGAGATTCTCATCAACGAATCCTCCATGCTTTCAAAAGATGGCTTCCAACTCTAAACTGAGAAGAGGAGAAAAGAGAAAACAAAGAAAGGGCTCTCTATAGTTTTAAAAGGTATACAAAAAGAGGGTGTTCATCCAGCATAATGGAATATACACGTGTGTGTATGTATGTATGTATGTATATATGTATGTATATTTTTCGTGTAAAAGAAACTATAAGTTCTAATAAAAAGTGAGATTAATATAAAAAATTCACACCATCAGTGTATATAAATTAAATTATAGTAGTAATTTTATTAAAGGACTCACTATCATTTTGCTAACAATAATATATGTGGAGGTCTACTATAAACAAATTTCAATAAGTAAATGATAATAAAGTGGAGTAGAAATAGATAAGCAAGCCCCACATGCACTCATGAACTTTAAATTACATCCAAAGCTTAGCTAAATTAGAATTATATTTTAGTATATTATTTACTATATTTAATTTGTAGAACTACTAAACTTCGCGGAGAAGTTGGTTTCTCTTCATGACTTTATAGAAATCGCCAATAATAGCTAAAGAATTAAAATGTCTGTTAGTAGACATGTTCATGCTTTGTCCAGAATCATTGCCAAACTAATTAATTAAAGCCAGTATGCTGAGAATTCAGCAATAAGCTTTCATACTTAAATCACAAGCCTGAAAATGCACATTGTGGACAGATCTTATGATTTGCTTTGCTTGCTATTCTTGGCACTATCAGTTTGCACAGATACTCCTTGATTGCAATTTTGGGATGTTTTATAAACAACAACTAGTACAAGCTATATCCAAGCAACAAATTCATACATCATGATACTTTTAGAGTAGTTTATACTTTATACCACATTCAATATAAGAAATATTAATCCATTAATGAACATTTTCACACTTATAATAGAGAGTGAGAACTAAAAGATGTTTTAAAAAAATCAAAATGAACGCGCCCCATGCCCCTACAGACTTGCTTTGCCACCTGGCTTGTCGGGGGTTCATCAGGTGTTTCATGTTTCCATGCTTCAGAAGTATCACGAGGATCAGTCGCAGGTGTTGGATTTCAGCTTGGTGTATTTTGATAAGAATCTAGATTATGAAGAAGAGCTGGTGGCCATTTAGAGAGGCATGTTTGGAAGTTGAGGTCTAAAGATATTGTATTAGTGAGGGTTCAATGGAAAGGTCAATCGATCGAAAAAGCGACCTAGGAGACCGAGCATGATATGAGGAGTAGATACCATCATCTTTTTGACATCAGAGGTATGGTTCTAAACCCGTTCGAGGACAAACGTTTCTTTTAAAAGGGGAGAACATAACAACCCGACCAGTCATTTTCTTTATTTGAACCCCGTTTTCCTATTTGTTGCTTCCTGTATGTTTGTTTGTTATTTTGTGACTTGGGGGGTGGTTAGTTTGGTTTCTAGAAGGTTTCGGAATGAATTGGAACACTTAAATCCAGTGTTAGAAGCTTAATTTACAAGAGTTAACCAAGGTTTGACTTTTGAGTATATGTCCTTGGAATGGTGATTTGATGATTCTAATAGGTTCGTATGATGATTTTAGCTTTATTTTGCCGAAAGTTGGCAATTTGAAGGTTTGGAGAGGTCATAGGGTTGAATGAGAGTTGACTTTGATGATATCGGGTTACGGTCGGTGTTCCGAGAATTTGGACAGATCATTTAGTTGATCGGAACTTGTGTGCAAATTTTGGTGTAAATCCGGAATGTTTAGGCATGATTCAGACGAGTTTGGCGAAGTTACAAAATTTGGAGCTAAGAGATTGATTTTGATCGTCGATTCTTGGTTTTGATGTTAGTTGTGGTGTTTTGGGCATGGATAAGATTTTAATAGATATATGGACTTTTTGGTGTGATTGGACAGGGTTCCGAGGGGAGGGGGGGGGGAGGGGGACTCGGATCTGTTTCGAGATAGTTTTAGACCACTTCCATGAGATTTGAAGCATTAGATTTTGCTGGTGACTAGTGTTCATCACGTTCGCGAGGGGGATCTCGCGTTTGCGAGGAAAGATTCTGGCAGGAGGGATTTTTGGCTATGCGTTAGCATTAGGGGGCTCGCATTCGCGAAGTGCATAGTTTGGGTGGTCATCGCGTTCGCGGGAGAGCTTCGCGGTAACATAACAGGAAAGTCAGGGGGGGGGGGGGGTTTGCCTTCGCGGTCGCGGATCTGAGCACGCGTTCGCGTAGGCAAGGCATGCTGGTGCTTCATGTTCGTGGGAGGATCTTCGCATTCGCGAAGGGTTATTTTGAGGTTGATGTTGTCTGTGCTTCACAAGCGCAAGGCTGTGTTGGCATTTGTGAAGGGTATCGCTGGGCTGAACACTTAAGAGTTATATTTCAGGATTTTACCGATTCTATCATATTTTGAAACCAAGACTTCGAGAGGTGGAGATTTTGAAAAGAAATTTTACTACTAGATTGAGGTAAATAATTTTTACATGGATTTGGCTTTATATCTTGATTCTCCACGAATTTTTACACCTAAGACTTGGATTTTTAAAGTGAAATTTGGGATTTTTGTTTACAACTTAAGATGGTGAATTTTGAAGATTTGAAGGTCGATTTGGACTTACTAATGGAATCTAATTACTTATTTGGACTCGTGAGGCTGTGAGTAGTCGGGGTCTATCCCTTAACTCGGGTTTTGTTAAGAAAAGAAAGTGGGGCTTGTTAAGAAGACCAAAACTGGGCCAAAATTGGCCTGGCCCAAATCAAAACCCCCTCAAATCCGCCTATTGAGCCCAAGACCCATCCCAATACCCGGTCCAGCCCCCCTTTATTTGAAACGACGCCGTTTAGGATCAATCAATCCTGACCGTCTAGGTTTCTCAATCTAACGGTCAGGGACTGATAGATTAATGATATATAACTGTCTGAATTCCCCCCTACCCCCTCACTCACCGTCTCATACCACCCCTGTTAATTCCGGCGTAACGCCGCCTAGAACCACCGACCTCCGCCCACCGGAAATCGCCTCACGGCGGTTCCGGTGGTCCAAACGACCCCACCTTCACACCATAGAACCTCCTCACCTTCCTCTCTTTGAATCCACTCTTCATTTTCTTCAAATCATTCCCTACTTCTTCGAATTTTAGATCGAAGAACTGACCCCAACCCTAGTTCACCCAAATCACCTCAAATTAACACCCTAGTCTCGCCTTCACCTCCTCATTCCAAATATCCAAACACCTTCCTTCGAATCTGCCTATAATTTGTCGAATGTCGATTTTTTGGGCCAAGAACCCTAGCGCCGCCACAAGACCCCTTGGTGGCGGCGCAGCCCCAATCAACCCCAAAATCATACCCTTGAACCCTTATCACCTCCTCTCCATTGATCTATGCACAATTGCTTTCAAAAGCCCCCAATTGGTTCGAATTTTAGATTTAGGGCTTACTGTCAAGGCCGTTTGATTTCCCAGGGTCAGCTAGTGTTCGAGGGGTTTTAAAATCGTGTTATGTGTTTGTTCTTGATAAGAACAAACACATAATACTATTTGAAGACCAATTTCGAGTTTAGGCGAGTTCATAATCTCAAAAAATCAGTAAGTTTATTTTTTCTTTGTTTGATTTTCTTTTTATTCTTTGCTTTGCATAATAACTTCGTTCAGAATGCTTAGGGTTCTAATTGATTTTGTTCCGATTAATTCTGCCTTGTTTTGTTTTAATTTTGATTTAATTTTTGTTCTGTTTTGATTTCTGTTGGTGTGATTTAGTGTGTGATTTAGAAGTCAAAACTCCTTTCTTTTAAACATTATATTAGGAACATGGATTTAAGTTGCAAATATAAATTTAGGTTCTCGAGTTATGTGGCGGACTCAAATTAAGAGGGTTCTCCCTTTTGTTTGAATTCGGACTTGAATTCGAGGCCTGAATTTATATTTATAAATTAATTAGGCCCTTTTAGAGACAAAATAAATAGAAAATCTTAGTTTGCTTTAAGATGGTCTTTAAATAAAAATGAGACGAGCCTCGCCAAACAAAATGCACAAATTTCGGGGCCCTCATTAGATACTATATTAAAATATTTTTGAGATTCGGGACATGTCACTTAGCAAATTTTCATGGCTTCCCGCAAAGATAACAACACGTTAGTCTCTTTAGATGCGATTTTAATAAAAATTACATTCCTAAATTCGGGTGTGCATTTCATGCGACCCAAATCCAAATCCGAAAACATTGAATAAGAGGTGTCGAGGATCCGGGTGCATTTCATGTGACGTGATCCAAGAACACGCTCTTAAACGGCGTTCACTTTCATAAAAACTAATTAAAAGCGGTTGAACAAATTTATAAAATTGCACTATAGGTTTGAACATGTACAAAAAATTAGATTTTTAGCCATTTATAATAATTTAAGCGACCGTGCTAGAACCACGGGCTCCGGGGGTGCCTAACACCTTCCCTCGGGTCAACAGAATTCCTTATTCAGAATTTCTGGTTCGCAGACTCCAATTGGGAAGTCGAAATTTTTCCTCGATTTGGGATTCAAAATTAAACCGGTGACTTGGGACACCAAAAGCCAATCTTATCCCAAGTGGCGACTCTAAAAAATAAATAAATAATCCCATTTCGAATAATGTCACTTTAAATGGAAAAACTCCCTTGTACATTTATCCTTCGGGATAGGTGTATAAAAAAGGAGGTGTGACAATGACTATTCAAACAAATGCGGGTACTTCTTTTTTATTTCATCCTCGGCTTCCCAAGTGGCTTCCTCGACTTGCTGATTCCGCCATAACACTTTCACGGATGCAATTTCCTTATTTCGCAATTTCCGAACTTGCCTATCAAAAATGGTAACTGGAACTTCTTCATACGACAGTTCTTCATTGACTTCAATAGTCTCAACTGGCACAATAGTGGACGGGTCTCCCACTACCTTCCTCAACATATACACATGAAAGGCCGGGTGTACCAATGACATTTCGGGTGGCAGATCGAGCTTGTATGCCACCTGACCAATCCTCTGAATAATTCTGTATGGTCCGACATACCTCGGACTCAACTTTCCCTTTTTCCCAAACCGCATGATACCCTTCATAGGGGAAACCTTCAAA